CTCTGTCTATGTACATTTTATTTTCAGAGAACGACAAAACTTATTATTCCTTTCTCCGTTCCTATTCCTTTCTCTCTGTATTAACTTCTCAGTCAATACCATACGCCATGTATTTAAAAAAAAGGTGTGAATCTATAAAAGTTAGGCTATAATAACTTAATCTCTGCTGCCACAGGAATCTTAGTTGGTCCCTTGGAACTGATTAACTTAGTTTTTTTCTGGAAATTGGGAGGGGGGCGGGGAAACCTTGATCCATAATTTAAAAATGTTTTAAGTTTGTATATATAATTAAAACAATCTTAGACTCGCACTGTCAGCTTTGTGCAAATCTTTATTCCTTTAAAATATGATATGGAAACCATGCAGACCATAAGGGTTTCCCCCGCCCTCCCATTCTTTTACTGGGAGTAAATATAGGAGACATCAGTATTTCTTCTGTGCAATGAATTAACATTAGATGAATGTATACTTCTTCCAGAAGATCTAACCAGGGTGTGTTTTCTCTATTTTTGTCTGTGCAAGTCTAATCAGGACAGATGCATAAATGTTACTTCTGTGTCTGTCAGCTATGCAAGGTTGGCCAGGTCAAGAAACAGATACCACAAGGACTCATGGAATAATGATTCCATTGTTGAAGGCATAGTACCAGAATCTTGAAAGATGGTCCCTTCTTATATTAAATATAATCAAAGCAGGGTTATTTGCAGTTTCTTTATCACATTTCTCACAAGAGCCATGGTGGTTCAGTGGTTAGAATGCAGTATTGCAGGCTAACTCTGCCAACTGCCAGCAGTTTGATCCTAACTGGCTCAAGGTTGATTCAGCCTTTCATCCTTCCAAGGTTGGTAAAATGAGGACCCAGATTGTTGGGGGCAATATCCTGACTCTGTAAACCGCTTAGAGAAGACTGTAAAGCACTGTGAAGCGGTATATAAGTCTAAGTACTATTGCTCTTTGCCGCAATCTCTGAACTATGTAATATTTTCTGCAAGTCCCTCTTTAATAGTACTTTCATACTTTTTAGATCATCTCTAAATTCCTTTACATTGTTATGGTTTTCTGGATAGTACAGACTCAAGTAGTAAAGTTTAGCAGAATGGTATACTACCATACTATGGTGTCCTTATGAAGGACGCAGTGGCTCAGTGGCTAAGATGCTGAGCTTGTTGATCGAAAGGTCAGCAGTTCAGTGGTTTGAATCCCTAGTGTCGCGTAACGGGGTGAGTTCCTGTTATTTGTCCTAGCTTCTGCCAACCTAGCAGTTTGAAAGCATGTAAAAAATGCAAGTAGAAAAATAAGGACCACTTTTGGTGGGAAGGTAACAGTGTTTGGTGCACCTTTGGTGTTTAGTGGTGTTTGAAATGGAGATGAGCACCGCCCCCTAGAGTCAGGAACAACTAGCACATATGTATGAAGGGAACCTTTACCTTTACCTATGGTGTCCTTATTGTTGAACATTAGAAAGGCTTTATTCCTACAAAGATGAAAGTCTTTATTTTAATTGTATCCTACTGTTATATCCAACTTATTTCTATTATCCTATTCACTTATTCACAGAATGTCAAGTACCTGTTTGTAAGCTTTGCATACTGAATCTCTTACTGTACTTTTCTCTGGTTTCCCAGCTGAAAACATAGTTATCTACCCTAGAAACAAGTGATACACAGTCACTGCAAAATTAGTGGTTGTTTTAAAAACACTCCTTAGTTTACTTCATGAGCTTTCATTTTTATCCAAGTTAGACTTTCCATGGATCATAGTTGAATTAATGATTTGGGGACAATTTGATAGCTACCAAGAGTGAATGACTTGCAAGGCAAACTTGATGGAACTAAATACTTATCTAGTTTGAATTTAACAAAAGAGTACTTTTAGACCCTCTAGAAATGGAACTCAAGGGGAAAAAACAGCCAAGGGCTATACCAGTTTACCAGAATAGTCCTTGGTTTGCATGGAGGCATTGTTATTTTTCAGAGTTTGATTACCTGGATCATACTGGATTAGAACAGGAAATACGAAGTTTTCCAAGATGACATCATAGTTACAGTGTCAGTTAGAAGGGACATTTCAAGCATCTGAAAAAGTAGCGGCTAAATTAAAGGTAGCAGAATAAGCATAAATCCAGCTTTTCTAGCATTCCAAGACCTCAGATGTGTGAAGTTTGTTTTAGATAGCCAAGAGGAAAAAAACTGAAACAGGGAAATTAATGGTCATTCAGGGAAATGTCCTGCAGAGACAACAAAAGAAATTGTGTGAAATCACAGCCCTAGTCACAGAACGTATTTAGAAATAAAATGTGGAGAATCCATCAAATGAGATGCCCCTACTATGACCCGGTATCTCTGATTATACCAGATCCAATTTCCTATACAGAATGAATCAAATCAAAATGTGTTATGATAAAAGACCAACAATGCCAAGAAAAATAAAACACCAAAAAGAAAAGCAATAAAACGTGTTCGGGGTGGAAAGGTTATCACTATTAAATAAATTGTTGCTATAGTTGTACTTCAGCCACACAAAAATTGGCTACTATATTGGTGATAGCATGGTTGGAGTCTTAGAGAAGAAGATTGTGTAATCTTTTTGTCCCCTTCCTGGGAGGCCTTGTAGAAAGAGCTACTGTATATATAAACTATGCCCAGATTCTTATAGAAATTCTATCGAAATAACTCATGTTGGACAGTTTCTTTTTTCCCATAGTAACATGAGCAGGCATGTTTTAAAAAATGAAATTTTAATAAATCTGATAATGCCAATGGTAGCTTATTATGCCTGGCCCTAAAAAATATCCTTCTTCAACTTGAGGAAGGCTAGTATGCATAACTGACTTGAAGACTGCAAGTGTCTTTGGCCATCAAGATTCTGCTGTCCCTGGAAAGGGTGCTGAAGGATGATTCTTTTTTGCATTCAGCTGAACACACTTAGAATCTTCCATAACAGTGGGAGGACTCTAAGCATGTGCATCTGTGCAGACAGACAATCCTTCCCAGATACTCAAACAGGGGGAGATCAGTGCAGCAGTGAGGCACCTCCGCCCGTAACCTCCTATCCTGTATATTTTCTTTTTCATATATGAACTTTTAATGCTTGATTATGGCTTACATTTCTATGCTCCCATTATTTAAGAAGGAGGGCCTATAAACAGTGAAAATGTACATGCCTAAGACGTAAACACTGATCATAATTATCTTAATAGTGATGGTTATTCATGAAACAATCATTGGGGTAGAACATAGTCATTCTTGCACTGTTTACTCACGGATACTTGCATCATGATTTTTTAAAAAATGGCTACAGCAATTGACTATCTCAAGGTTAATTGTACTTTATGTCTGAGGAGTTTCAATTTGAAACACTGATTCTATTTTATTTTGTCAGTGTAAGTTTGAATATCTGAATTTAGACTACTAAGGGTTATATTAATATTCAGGGAGACTTATTTGTTTATCTATCCCAGGATTGCCTATTCTTTTTGGAAATATCTCTCCGGGGTATCAGGTCCTTCACATTACCTTCATGTTAATAGAACCAGCAAAAGCTGCTTTGGGGGCCTTTTGTATGTAAAACCTGTGCTTTTCCACTGACTAAGCTGTCCCTAGCCTACATTGGAGACTGCTCCATGAAATACTGAAATCTTTATTGATTACATTGATTTAAATGTTAAAACTCTATAGCATCCCTGAAGGTTTAAATTAAATATGCTATGCACTTTCCAAATCAAAGCTATAATTTTTTTTGTGTTCCCTGTAGAGTGTGACAGAGTATACAGCTCTTTTGTTAATTAGCACTAAAAATGTTTTATACATATGTGGTTTTTGCTTACACTTTCCATAATTTTTGCTTAAGGAAATGCAAAAGCAATATTATTTGTTCTTATTTAACATCGGCATTGTGGTCATAGCCATGCCCAAGAGTTCTAGTTTAATATTTGAGGAACCTTGTTTATGTTTTTCTTCTTTTTTACCTTTTCTTTTCTTTTTTCTTTCTTTCTTTCTGTTTTTTGAGAGACAGTTTGGACTGGTAATTAAGGTTTCAGACTAGAATACAAGAAACTGTCAGTTTTAGTTCTGCTTTAGCCATGAAAGTCAGCTGGGTGACTTTGGGCCAATCACTCTGTCTCAGCCCCTCACCTCACAGGACTGTTGTGTTGGGGGAAAATAGGAGAAGGAATGCGTATTAGTTACGTTGTCTAACTAGAGTTATTTATAAAGGCAGGATTTTAAAAATCTAAAAAAGAAAACCAAAAAACCTGGGTCCCCCTAGAGCCATGATGGCAAAACTATGGCACGCGTGCCACAGGTGACATGCAGTGCCCTCTCTGTGGGCACGTGAGCTGTTGCCCCAGTTCAACTCTGCTGTGCATGTGCACATGCTCCTCGCTGGCCAGCTGGTTGTCAAGTCTCTGCTGCGCATGCATACCAGCGCATGCATACACGGGGGGATGTGCGGGGGGCCTTGCACACATGCGGGGGGCAGGATGCATGTGTGGGGGACAGGCACACATTACATTTTGGGGGTTCACATGCGTTTTGGGCACTGAGGCCGGAAAAGGTTAACCATCACTGCCCTAGAGGCTGAAGAATTAATGATTCTGGAAACTGTCTCTATTAGTTTCTGGCTGGCTGAGGCTATTGAAATTTTTATTTTCTGCAAAAATGTAAGGACCACAAAATCTTCATCCAGATATAACACACATATGAGAGAGAAACCCAAGAATAAACATGATTGTGAATGTGTCTATCAGAAAGATAGCACGGTAAAAGACCTCCATCTCAGGCACATCAGGGTTTGGGAATGATGAGATACCTAATGTAAGATAGAGGATAGCAGCAGGAACCAGATAGACAAAGAAGGAAATATGCCCAGGTGTGAATACCCAGAGGAAGTATACCAGGGGTGAAATGCTCCCGGTTCGGACCATCTTGGGCAAGTAGGTAGCGATGGTGGTGGGCAGTTTGGAGAACCAGTAGCAAAAATCCCTTCTCCCCCCCCCCCAGCCTCCAGCTTGTTTACCTTTGCTCTTTGCACTGAATCCTGAGCCGCTGGTTGCAATGCCTGCCTTGCTTCACTTGCTGTAATCCCTGCAATCCATTGCATCAGCAAGAAACTGAATCTCCCTGCCTGCAATCAAGCTCATCAGTGAGCAGCTCTGTCTGTCTGCCTGCCTGCCTGTCTGCCTTGTCCCTTCAATTGGGTAAGTTTTTTTCCCCTTTGGGAGCTTTAAAAAAATAGTTAATTGGGTTTTTTTTTAGTTGTTCTTTTTTTGGACCTAGCCATTTAAAGTTTAGAAAGTTTTAAATTTAGCTGCTTTTATATAAAAATAAAAATAAAATAAAATAAAATAATATTTGTGCAGCTTTCTGAGATTTTGTGTGTTTCTGTAGTGTTTCACTCTAACTACACAAACACACAAAATCTCACAAAGTTGTATGTGGAATTTTGTGTGTGTAGAGTGTGAAAGTTGGTTTTTTGGACTTTTTGTGGCTGTGTGAGGTTCCTGCTTGTTGCAGGGGCTATCTTGGGTCTAGCACAGCTGCTTTTACATTGTGGGTGAGCCAGTTGTGTTGCATTGTGTTTTGTAGGTTAAAAAAGGGCAAAGAAGTGACATCGACTTGGCCACACCCACCTGACCACCAAGCCACACCCACCCAGTCATCTGACCACCAAGCCACGCTCACAGAACCGATAGCGAAAATTTTTAGATTTCACCCCTGAGGTATACCCAGGGACCCTAGAAAAATACTTCCAACAGTTTGCCTTCACCACGTGGAGGTTGAAAGGATATCAATGGAATGGAAAAGTCACTAGTTTATTCTTCTTTCCCATTCATTGTACCTAACTCAGACAACTTTCATCTATACCTATGTTTCTTGCAGTATTCTAATCCAGTGTTTCACAACCACAGCAACTTTAAGATGTTGGTTGGGAAGATCTGGGTGTTGAAATCTGCACATCTTAAACTTGTTGAGATTGAGAAAGAACAACACTTTGAAACAAACAATAGTTAATAAGCAACTGTCCTCAGTAAGCCCTAGGACGGATCTTCTAAAGTTGAGAGATGGTGTAAAATTGGGATTTATTTTCTATGTGGCTTGTAAACAGGCAATAGTCAGTCCTGAAGCTCTTCCTCTTATTTCACTTCTGTTCCTTCTGAGTAGCATGAGGAAGGGCAAGGATTGTAATGACAGGCTCAGCATTCTGATTTCTATACTTGAATACCGTGTTTTCCCGAAAATAAGACTATGTCTTATACTTTTTTGAACCCCAAAATAAGCACTTGGTCTTATTTTTTGGGAGGCCTTATTATTTTGGGGCACCTGGAGCAAGACGGGGATCCTCTTGCTGTCTTACCTGATTTCCAGCTCTGTCTTCCTAACTCTAACCAGAGGAAATGGTGGGGACCGGCTGCGCATGTGTTTAAATATTTTCGGGGAGGGCTTATTTTCAGGGAGGGCTTATTTTCAGGGAAACATGGTAGCTGAAAAAAAATCTCCCATGCAGGATCCTGAAAAGAGATGGTCACTTCTTCGTTTCTTATTTCCAGAGTAAATAAAACAAAAATTTCCAAAATAAAATAAAAAAAGATAAAATAATAAAATAAAGAAGTAAAATAAAATAAAATAAAATAAAGGCAAATGCCAATCAAAGTATATTTCACTCCTTCAATAGTATTTTATAATACTACTCCACATTTTCATCTAATAATGCTAATTGTTATAGGTGGCTGGAGATGCAACAGAAAGAGGTTTTGGGACTTAAAATCCAGATTTATTCAAAATAGCTGTTCAAATATAATCCTGAGTTTTCTGGATATGGTAAAATATAAGATATTTAGATACACTTTATACTAGAGCTGAGGAAATCTTTGAAGAGATGTTTCATTTTGCTACAGAAAAAAAACACTACTTCGAAACTGCTTTGTGAAACATCACAGGCTCTATATAAAGGCGAAGCTATGTAGTTGCATTGTTGGTCTCAGTCCAACTACTTTTTCAAACAATAACAAGCCAATTGAAACTGCGAGGTCAGGAGAAAACCTAATAGAGGCAAATTCTATCATCACTTCATCTCAATGAAAAATATACATCACCTCTCATGTGTAAAGTTCTTTAATGTGTAAATATCAGGAACCAGGACATTTCACACAGGCCTATTATACAATAGCCCTCATATTCCATAATCATTTTAATAATACCTGGGATGTTATTACCATATCTACTGGGCATCTATGACCAATATTACCTGAAGTCACAGTAGCTGGTTGAAATCCAGATGTTAACTGATATAAAGGAAGGTCTGGATCCAAGGGAGACCACTGTTCCACAGATAGCCGGATGTGAGTCCCTCTTTGTGAAGTGGGGTCGTGGAGTACAGATGGGCTTGTTGGTCACGTACCTGGCTCCCTGCCACGTGGCAACGGCCCTGCCCGAGCTGCTTAACGTTAAAGCCGAGGTGGCGGTGGACACCCCCAGACTTGTCATCATGGGGGATTTCAACCTGCCATCTATCGGTGAAACGTCTGAAGTGGCTCGAGAGTTCATGGCTTCCATGACGGCCATGGACCTTACTCAGTTAATTCATGACCCCACTCACACAGGGGGACACACTCTGGACTTAGTTTTTGTCTCTGGTCAGTGGTTGAGTGGCCTTGATATAGGGATATAGCCATCGAACCCTTGTCATGGACTGACCACTCGCTCCTTCGACTAGACTTTCTAACCGCTGCACCCCGCCGCAGGGAGGCGGGACCGACCAGGTGGTTCCGCCCCAGGCGCCTGATGGACCCTGAGAGGTTCCAGATGGAGCTTGGGCCATTTCCTGAGATTCTGGCTCATGACTCGGCTGAGGACCTGGTGGCCGCCTGGGATAGTGCGGCTGCCGGGGCCTTGGACCGAGTCGTGCCTTTGCGGCCTCTGACCCGGCACCGAACTCACCTAGCTCCTTGGTTCACCAAGGAGCTTAGGGAGATGAAGCGCCGGAAAAGATGCCTGGAGAGTAGTTGGAGGACCAGCCGCTCCGAATCTGACCGAACACTGGTGAGGTCTCATATTAAGACCTACCTAGTGGCGATAAAAGCGGCGAAAACTAGCTATTTTGCCGCTCTTATCGCGTCATCAGATAATCGCCCGGCTGCCCTGTTTAGGGTGACCCGCTCCCTCCTCCATCTGGAGGTGCGGGATGACCCCTTGCAGGGTCGAGCTGAGGATTTTGTGCTGTATCTGTATGACAAAATCGCTCAGATTCGGGAAGGGCTGGCCTCTGACTGGGTATGTCCGGACGGGATGACTGAGGCAGGTCTTGAGAGCGTTATCTGGGGGGAGTTCGATCCTGTGGCTCCCGAGGACATGGACAGGGTCCTGGGATGGCTGAACGCGACCACATGTTTATTGGACCCGTGTCCCTCCTGGTTGGTACTGGCTTCCCGGGAGGTGACACGAGGCTGGCTCCAGAAGATTGTTAACGCTTCTTTGAGTGAGGGGATCCTGCCGGCCGCTTTGAAAGAAGCGGTTGTGAGGCCCCTCCTCAAGAAGCCCTCTCTGGATCCGGCTGTTTTGGCTAACTATCATCCAGTCTCCAACCTTCGCTTCGTTGCGAAGGTTGTTGAGAGTGTGGTGGCGCAACAGCTTCCCCGGTACCTGGATGAAGCTGTCTATCTAGACCCGCTCCAGTCCGGCTTCCGGCCTGGGCACAGCATGGAAACGACATTGGTCGCATTGGTGGATGATCTCTGGAGGGCCCGGGATAGGGGTTGCTCCTCTATCCTGGTCCTGTTAGACCTCTCAGTGGCTTTTGATACCATTGACCATGGTATCATGTTGCACCGGTTGGCGGGGTTGGGGGTGGGAGGCACCGTTCTGCGGTGGTTCTCCTCTTACCTCTCTGACCGGTCGCAATCTGTGTTGACAGGGGGGCAGCGGTCGACCCCGAGGCACCTTGCTTGTGGGGTGCCACAAGGGTCGGTCCTCTCACCCCTTCTGTTCAACATTTATGTAAAGCCGCTGGGTGAGATCATCCGTGGCTTCGGGGTGGAGTTCCATCAGTACGCTGATGACACCCAGCTGTACATCTCCACCCCAGGCCACCCCAATGATGCCCTTGAAGTGATGTCCCAGTGCCTGGAGGCCGTGCGGGCCTGGATGGGGAGAAACAGGCTCCGACTCAACCCCTCCAAGACCGAGTGGCTGTGGCTTCCGGCGTCCCGATATAGCCAGCTGATGCCATCGCTGGCTATTGGGGGTGAATCACTCGCCCCCACGGAGAGGGCTCATAACTTGGGCATCCTCCTGGATGCACGGCTGTCTTTGGAAGATCATTTGACAGCCGTGGCCAGGGGGGCTTTCTATCAGGTTCGCCTGATACGCCAGTTGCGCCCCTTTCTAGATCGGGACTCCCTACGCACAGTCACTCAGGCACTCATCACTTCCCGCCTGGACTACTGCAACGCTCTCTACATGGGGCTCCCCCTGGGGTGCACCCGGAGGCTCCAGCTGGTCCAGAACGCGGCCATGCAGGGGATTATGGGGGCGACGAGGCACTCCCATGTGACACCTCTCCTGCGCGAGCTGCACTGGCTCCCGGTGGTCTTCCGGGTGCGCTTCAAGGTGTTGGTGACCACCTTTAAAGCGCTCCATGGCTTAGGGCCGGGGTACTTACGAGACCGCCTTCTGCCACCAATAGCCTCCCACCAGCCAGTGCGCTCACACAGAGTGGGCCTCCTCAGGGTGCCGTCCGCCAGACAATGTCGGCTGGCGACCCCCAGGGGGAGAGCCTTCTCTGTGGTGGCACCCACCCTCTGGAACAACCTCCCCCCAGAGTTACGTACAATAACAGACCTCCGGATTTTTCGTCGGGCCCTGAAAACCCATTTATTTCAACTAGCTGGGCTGGCTTGAGTCAAATTTTAAACTGATTTTAAATTGGAATTGTTTTAATTACGGCCAAAAGATTTAATTATTTTAATCAGTTTTTAGATTTTGTATGTTTTGTATGTATGTCTTGTTTTTATTTTGGCTGTTCACCGCCCTGAGTCCTATATTGGAGAAGGGCGGTATAGAAATTTAAACAAATAAATAAATATCTCAAACTTAGATGTCAATTGGGACAGAATTTAGACATTATTTCAAGGGACACCCCACAGTAATTTACACTCCCGTTTGTGCTTCCCCGTCCATCTGATTAGAACTTTATTGTAAA